AGGGATCTGCTGATACAGTTCTACCGAGGAATTATTGATAACTGTCTGGTTTGGTACAGTAATCAAACAGAACAGGTTCAGATTTCAAAAGATAGTAAGGACTGCAGAAAAAAACAATTGCAACCAGCCTGTCTTCTGAGGACTGGTATATTGCACAAGCCAGAAAGAGGGCTGAGAAAATGTCTACAGACCCTTCACATCCTGTACATAAACTGTTTCAATTCTTCCCCTCTGGATGCCACTATAGGGCATTGCATGCAAAAACAGCTAGACATAGAGATAATTTTCTCCCATGCTATCACTCTGCTGAACATCTAATCCCCTCAGCATTGTCTTATATCTAAAAATATTTACCCATGTACTAGGGCTGTATTACTATTATCCTTCTCATCTTTCTTATTACCTTCATCTACTGGTATTTTATGATTATATTACTTTGCTGTTTGTATATACACTGAGAGTTTATGCACTGTAGACAAATTTCTTGTGTGTCCAATCACAATTGGCCAATAAAGAATATTCTGCTCTGCTCTACTCTATTGTTTGAAATTCCAAATATGCCCATTGTCCCAAATGCCTTTCATTTGTAAAATGAATTCATCCTGAAACAATTGGAATTGAATCTGGATTTCCTGAAGCTTTATGGCACTCATTTAAGCTTTTTCCACCTAGTTTCTCCCCATACATGGAATCCATTCATGGTTGGTGGGAAAGAAAACTGGAATAACTGAGAGATCTTTATGTAATCATACTTTATTAGGGGCTGTGTGATGACAGTGCTTGGGGAAAGCAGGCTGAATCTTACACAATGGTTTATTCAGCTCTCTATGGTTTGGCTACTTCAGTCTCAACTGAACAGAAATGTTTGAAGAACTTTGGTTAAGGTGGTAACAGCAAAATGCTTGTGAATTTTGTATTTTCCCAGTGTCTACCCTTTTCCTCAATAGTCTTCATTCTTTCAACCAATTCCTATTTTAACCTTCTAATCCTTAAAAATATTTCCTTTCCATTCATTTATATCCTCATCATTCATAAAATTTTCATTTACCACTTCTATTTATTTTATGTTAGTCATATATAAAAATTATATATAATTTCTTTCACCTCTGATGCCTGTGTTAGATTTTTACTTGGAAAAGTTCTATGCTCATTTTTCAGTATTTTTACTAAAACTTTTGTAACGTTCATAACTGTATTTATCCTTGCTCCATTTTACTATTCAGTGCATGATTTTAAAATTTTGTTTTATACCATATTTTAGTTTATAAATAGTTTGTTTATAAAGCACTCTTACTATTAATAAAGTGCAACTTGACATGTAATATATCATTTGACACTATGAAATCCCTCTGTTGTGGCAGCATTATTTTTATTATCCGTAGAGAATGAAAGATTAAAAATCTTGATAAAAGGATCTTAAGATGGCCTTTGCCAGGGTCAGTTGTATTGGGCCCCATAAATGTGGGCCTGAGCAGATAAGAAGGCTTTAGGCAACTCTGTTCATCTCCAGACTACCACAGATTTGGATTCCTCATACTTACATTGTCGTCTGCCTTCTTTGTTAAAATTCCTGCTTGCCCACACTCAACCAGGTTTGGGTATGTTACTCAGTGTGTTATTGTGCATTTCACTAACGTCCACAATGGGAAAGCCAATGCAATCTTTCCATGGTCAACTTTTTATGCTTCTTTAATTTCACATTTATACATTCAATAAAAAGTCTGTGTCCCTTGCTAGGAGAGAAGCTTCCAAACAGAATTCTAACAGGTTTAATGAGTGAAATCTCTCCAGAAAAGAGCCTTGAGGAAAAGAAATATATAAAAAAACTGAATACTTTCAGAGCAAATGTCATCATCTATTTTAGACAGTTGTGCCACTCATCAACCAATCATGATGTATGATCAAGCTATTAATTACAGGCCTAATTTATTCAGCCTCAGCTTGATTGTACTTAACTGACCTTGGCTGGTAAATAAGAAACTAAGCAGGGACTATCTTAGCATTGGGATGAGGTGGGGGCTATCTGCAGTGGTGGGATTCAAATATGTGAACAATCAGTTCTCTGTATGGATGCCGCTTCATGAAGTCCATTCTGGGCCTGGGCAACAAAAAATTCGATACCGGTTCTGCCAAAGTGGTGCAAACTGGCTGAATCCCACCACTGGATATCTGGGAATTCCAGGGCTAGAAACTAGATTACATTGGGACTCCAGTGCCCAGCAGGATGCATGTATACTGCTCAAAAAAATAAAGGGAACATTTTACCATGGAACTGAAGGGGTTTGCGTTCCCTTTATTTTTGTGAGCAGTATATATAATCAATAGATGTTAAGCCTAGATGTTGAGTGTCATTTTATTTCCTTTGTCCTTTTAAAATTATTTCCTGCCCAATGGGAAGTTGGAAAGAAACGATGTTGGAGGAGTTTAGGTTCTCTTCATCCCAGTAATAATTGTGAAATGAAAACAGCACCAAATTTGGAAAAGGTTGGTAAAAAGACAATCAAGATCAAAGACAGAGCAGATCTGACTGGAGACTACAGAGAAAGCAAAACTGGAAAAAAAATTTCAATGCTTCTGTATGGAAGCAGCAGTTGGAAAACAGCTTGTTTCTTTCTAAGCCCCTTTCCTACCTACCCACAGAGTAGAGCAAATGCAGTTTATCCTTCACACGTACTTATGCACAGACATAGCACCAGTGAAAACAGAAGAACACAGACAAAACCCATATTTACACACCCTGATTATACTCCCTCTCGTTCATACACTTGGAAGCAACCCCATGGTACACACTTTAATGATGTGTATATACCATGGTATACACAGAGACAGGCTGTACGACACACCCTGGTTGTTTCATGAGGACAAAATGTACACAACCGAATATCTCCCAAAAGGAAATACAGATGCCTTCTCTGGCCTCTGCTGGTAAAAGGGCTGGAAAGGATTCAGAATTCCTGCTCTGCAGTTTCACTGCCTTGTTTCTTCTCTGATTTTGCTGCCATCTGTTGCTCATGTATTGCAACTACACATTTTCTCTGCAGATTCTTTTATTGTACTGCATCAAGCACAATTTTTGAGGTATATGTTAACTAAATCTGTAGGCCATTCACTGCCGGTACGGTACCCCCACCCAAAGCACTCAACAAGCATATTATGCTTCCTCATCCTGACTCAGAATTCTAGTATTATCACTACAAATTAGAATAGGTTTTCCAGGTTTTCTATAAAAATACAGCAGGCAATAAATATTTACAGTGGATATTCATCTAAAATAATAAAAGTTAAAAATGAGTCTTAAATAACATAAACCTTTCAAACTGGAGCAACTGCTGCAGCCAATTCCATGTTAAATAGCAGTCCTATTCCATAAAGCAGTCTTGGTGCTGCAAAAAGAAAAAAAAATCCTGTTCTTTGTGTTCACACGTTCTGTTTTCAAAAATAGGTGGACAAGGATCTGGAACAGGGATTCAAAATATAAATCTCTAATGCTGGCTATGTCTCTTGCATTATGTTCACCTGTTCCTGCATGCTTGCCAGCAAAGATACCTTTAGGGACTTGTGTATTATTTTGCTCATCTCCTAAAGGTAAATTCTTTAGGCCACTGCTTTTTCTGTTGCTATATTTATTTTCCCTCTTCTATTTCTATAGTTCTGTAGCACATATGTGTGGGAGAAAGCCCTGGGGTCTGGGGTGATCAGAGTGAACCAAGATCCTTTGTTGTTGGAAATGAAATTGATCTCACCCCATTTATATAGAAATGCTGATCAGAGTGGTATTGTTCTTAAAGCAATAGTGCCTTCGACTGATACTGAAATGCTGGAATGAGGATGGAATGGAAAGTTGTATTTTATTTGCACAGATTAAAGAATTCTGAGGCTGGAATGTTGACAATGGGGTATGACTGCCCAATGGCATGGCTATAACAAAGTCCAGTAAAGTCCCTCAACCTTCCCCAGGCGGTTGGGTCCTAGAGGAAACAAGTCTCCAGCTTTTGCACCTGAACCAACTCCAAACTGGCACAGGCTACAAGGCTGTTACATCATTCTGTCCAAGGACCTATACTACAGCTGCTAAGTTTAATAATGTCCTTTAAAGCAGTAATTTCCCTTCAACAAAATTATTTATTTCTGAGGAAAAATATTTGAAAGCAAAAGTAAACTCTGTTTTATTCCTGTCAGAGTGATGGTACATATTTTAAATAAATTTCAAACAGGAAACAGTGTGCAGAAATCATAACTGGCAAACTAGAGTATAACAATAATAAAGCACAGAACTGCTTGGGGTGTGGATGGAACATGAAGAATTTAAAATTCTTTAGCTGCACCATCATTTTTTTCCTTATTGCTTGTCTGTGGTGCCTGTTAGTAGAGGAAGCTCTGGATTGCCCTAAAAGACATATCCAAAACATTTCTTTTTGCATTTAACATTTTTAGAGTATATGATTTATGGGTAGTCATTATATATAGTTTTGTTTTATTGCATGTTGATAGAATATGTTATCTTTCATAAAATATATATAAGTGCTATTATACAGTGTCTGGGACAGCGTGAGGTAAGTGTGAGCTGTGAATCAGCTGCTCCTTTGCCTGGCTTCAGGCTGGGCCTAACGTATTGTTTTTCTCTGTGTTAGGGAAAGCTAGGCTCTTCCATTTTGAATAGGGTCTGAATTCTGAGTGTTTAAAATGATCATGACTTGTCCTTTTTAGCAATTAAAAAATGCTAATGGAAAGAATAAATGTCCTCTTCACATTAATTTTTTAGGTCTCAAATTCTTTTCTCCACAGTCCTTCAATGAATCTTGGTATGAGTATGGCTGGCCTTTATTTTATTTCCCTCTCTACACTATTGTAATTATGAAAACTGATGAGTTAGCATTTTGATCAAAAATACTGTGAGATCTGAACTAAACACTGCCATCTCCTGTTCTTAACAAATTCTAAAATAGAGGGAAAATGACAGAAGAATTCCAGCCTGAATATTCATCCCCTACAGCTTTTAAAAGGTTATAAGAACTGCTTTAATACGGGGCAAATTTGAGTTGCAGTAAAAGTTTCCTCTGTCTCTGCATTTGAAGTGTTCTTCTCAACATCTTTGGCCAATTAGAGCAAAAAGTATAGTGTGACAGACAGATGTAAAAAGGGCAGGTGTTTTCTCCTCCTTGAATTGACCAATGAAAGAGAGAGGGCGGGACTTTTTGAATTACCCTTGCTCACCATCTTGTTTGCTCTCTGGTGACTGGCCTCAGGAAGCCCTGGGAAAGAGTAAACAAAATTATTGTTGTGTACAAGAAGCAGAAACTACATTAAAAACAGAACTGATTTACCAACGTTGTTTTAAAATGTTTGGAAAAGAAAATTGTTAGGTACAAGAAGCAGAAACTACATTAAAAACAGAAACCCCCCCCTTCTGTAAGAAATTACAGTAGTGATAATCATGCTGTAATGAAAAAGACTTTAGTCTCTTAATTTGCTTTAGTTTTTTTTAACTTATATTGCTTTTTTCTTTGAATGTTCATGCGGGGTTCAGGAAAAGAGCCTTTTCTGTCATTGCTCCTGCCCTCTGAAAATCGTGTCCTCACCCCCACTGCTAGAAATGAGATCTGCACTCACCCTTTTAGCCTTCTAAAAGGGCCTGAAATGGAAGACTCTGCCAAGAGGCCTGGGCCCCCAATGACTGCATGTTATTCTGGAAATGGTTAATAATGAAGTAAGATGAAAACCCACCCCAGTGTGTATTTTGCTCCCTTCCTTCCCATGTTTGGCAATTTTTAAATCAAATTCAATGTTATTCATTGCTTTAATGTTTTATATGGATGTTTTATTGATTGAAAACTGCCTAGAATCACCTTAAGATAAGATAGGCAGCATAAAAGTTTAATAACTAAATAAATAATATGTGAGAATCCCCACATGTTTGGACTGGAAGAGAAGGTGTTGGCCAACAATCACATGTAAGAGTCATAGCCATTTGAATATAGGCCTCTCCAGTCTCAATCTCATTTATTACTCACCATGCAACATTGGCTTAGGTCAGGATATCATAATACAGAAATAATAGGAATATAAATCTATGTAGAGAAAAAAACTTACTGAAAGAAGGCAGTGATAATCCACTTCCATACTGTCACTAAGAAAACCCACGTTTTCTGAACTGGACTGATATCATCACTATTTGTTAATAATGAATGGATTCTCAAAAATAGTTTAAATGAATTAACATAATAATTTCTATTGGAGTTAATTTGGCATTTTTCTTATCCAAGTACTGTTATATTTTATTACCTATTCTAAATTGACAGTTCTTCCAACATAACCCAATACTGAGCTTGCAACTTGAAATGCAAATACTGACATGCAATTCCATATTCTGCCCATGTACATTTTACATTACTATGTCTCATCTTGCTTGCAGAAATCTTGGATAAGCGGAGAAATGGATAAGGAGAAATAAAAGAACATTATTTGAATGATCAGAGACCAAATTTATTAATTCTTTAGAACAGTAATAATGTATGGCCTGTCACTGTTTCAGTTTAAATGTGTCTTTTAAGTGCAGTACTCATTTAATGACTTAGATAAAATACACTTTAAAAAAAAAGCAGTATCAAAATAGATGCCTCCTTGAACTTGCATGGCATACTTGGTGGAATGTAACTGCATTTAAAGCTACCTTCTCCTGAAATTACCAAATTAAATTTTTAAAAAAAAACACAACTAAAAGTGATTTTGCATCATTAATTATAGTTCAATAAATAAATCATGATTGTCTGAGATTTTTGAGTGCATTAAGCCATTAACTATTACTCATAATCTATAATGGCTGCCATAAACAAGCCAGTTTTACTAGGGATTAATTTGAACTTTTCCAACACGGGATCTTCCAGATGTTTTAGACTCCAGCTACCAGAATTCCCTGCAGAACTGTCAGGTGGCATGGATAAAGGCCACACTGATGAAAAACTTGAAGTCCCAAAATGATTTTAAGGTACCACATTAGAGTTTTGTTTAAAAGTATTCATTTTATGAAACTACAATTTATTTTCAGATGAATAGGCACACTAGAAGAAAGCAAGGACAAATCACTTTCAAATTGTTCTTAAATTAAACTACAGTATATAGCCCAATCCGAGTAGCCTTCGGAAGTGAGCTTAAGAGAGGTTTTACCTTTTAAATATGTACAAAGCCATGTGAAATCTGTGCAGTGACAACTGTATCCATTGTATACTGCTCAATGTAAAATTTCAGAGTAGGGGGAAAGCCCCAAATTACACATTAGTAAGAAATTGCAAAATAGATAAAAAACTAGACTTTAAGAGGATAAAGTTGAACATAGATCTTCAAAAATATTTTTATGTACTTGATGAGGATGATGTTGAGAAGAATGTGAAATTGTTTTAACTCCTTCCCCAATATAGAGTAAAATAAGGAAAAATTGAAGTATAAAAGGGTAGGGCTCCTTCATGTTTAATATTATGATCTATCCTTGCTGAAATTCTGTTTTCTTTAAAACAGTTCCTATCTTTTATTTTTGGTACCATGGAAAAATCATGGAAGTAGGAAAAGCTTGCAGTCTGTTTGTTCAAATAATCACATTCACAACTTACTAAATAGCTAGTGTTTGTAGTATAATGAATATTGGACTGTGAAGTGTGATCCAGTTTAACATTCCAACTCAGTTCTAAAGTTGATGGGCTGACCTTGGGCCAGTTATTATCTCAACATGTGGATCCTACTTCATAGGATTATTTTGAAGGATAAATCTATGAGTATTATTTAAATAAAAGTTTGGAACAAATTTGGTAATAAATATTGAAAGATAGCAAAAATAGCATAATCAGTGACAAACAGAAGAATTTACCATTATGAACTTTGCTGCATAGATGCTTCATCTTAGCAGTATAAACATGATTCAGCTGAAGTATCATGATTTTCTATTTAATTCAGTAAGTAAGATGTAAATGAATATCTAGGCCTTCATTAAAATAAATATCTACATATACATCTATATTTTCTGAGAAAAAAAATCTCTGCGTGTTCAATAGAACTTACAACTTAGCAACATGATAATATAATGTTACATACATCTACTCAGAAAAGTCCCAGATAAATGTATATAGAATTATAGTCTTAAACTGCTTAAATTTTGATGGATTGTTGCTTGTGTAAATATGTACATACACATATCCATATCTATCTTGCTATGAATGTTAATAGCTGGGATGGTATGCACTCACATATGAACGTACGAGAATTTAGTGAATCAATACAACCAATAAATATTTTTCTACTTGTATACACACACACACACACACACACACACAAATTATATCTATATACACACACATAATATATATACACACACACATATATATAGAGAGAGTCTCTCTGGGTCTCAGTTTAAGATATTAAACATTCATTTTTCTTCTGTCTCTTGAATTTCCGACATAAATTTTGTTTAGGATTATTACTAATCATTTTATATGAAGAATGCTGCAATTCACCAAATTCAAAACATCTATTTATCTACAATATATAACTATTAGAAGAAACTGAAATAGCCTGCAGTCATAACATACCTTGATATTTTTAACTTTTCTCTTCTGCTGTTTCTCAGATACCAGTCCTGGATGTCAGATGGAGAGAAAGCAAAAAAGCATGCATGTTCATGTGGGAAAAAATCTGACTCTGTCAAGACTGATGGCAACCATTAAAGGGCAGAAAAGGGGAACTTATTTGTTGCTGAGAAGTGCAATGCCTTTTCTGGCAAATCTTTCCTGCCAAATATACTTGGCACAGAATCCTGGCTGCTCTCTCTTCTTGAATCAACAACTGCTCAGGGTGAAAATGTCAAATCTTTCCCAGATGCTTTGCAGTGGTATTAAGCCTGGTCATGTTCAACTCTTTTGTCCTGTGGGTTTTGTTCTTTTGCTTTCACTTGGCTTCAATTGTGCGGAATTCTCAGATTAAGATTTGCCAGCTGGTTTCTGTTAAGGGAATGCAGGCTGATATGAGAGAGCAGAAAAGATGCTGGAATCCAACAGCCTGGAAAATCAGGGGGGATGGGGGTACGTTGATCCTTTAAGAGCCTCAGCTTTGTTCTGCAGTATGTTGCTGTGTTAAATGCAGCAGGCTCTTTAAATATAAAATATTAACTGATGGATTGCATTCTCCGATTTGGTTAACTGATGGACTGCGTGCTGCATAGATTCCACCCTGTCTTTATACAAACACATACACATCTTTCATCACTAGATTCTCTCTCTCTCTCTCTCTCTCTCTCTCTCTCTCTCTCTCTCTCTCTCTCTCTCTCTCTCTCTCTCTCTCTTTCAGTGTGTGTGTGTGTGTGTGAGAGAGAGAGAGAGAGAGAGAGAAAGAGGGAGGGCTTTGTTTCTATTGGTTGATTCTTGCCTTCCCACCCACATCTATTCCACATCACCTTGGTGTCTCCCTAAATAAAACCAGCCCTCCTTATCGCAGCAAGGAAATCAAGCAATAGAGTTGCAATGGATTTTAAATAAACACTTCCCTCCTCCCCCCATCATTGCCAGGCTGCTGAGAAGCACGCAGGAGGCACCTCACCAACTGCTACTGAAACGCACACACATAGCTATCTTGCCTGCTTTCTGACTCTATTGCTTCTTTCATCCCATGAGTGAGGGCTGGAGTACACAAGAAGCTGGCTGCAGTCAGAGGATAGAATTGGTATCTTTATGACCAATTCTTTCTCCATGGATTTGAAGGACAGCACTAGTGAGGGAAGTCTAGGGAGCCTTCAGCCTTCCAGCCTCCAAATTTTTGCTAACACCTCAACCCTACATGGAATCCGCCATATCTTTGTTTATGGACCTATGACTGTGCGGCGGGCTCTATGGGCTCTAGCGTTTGTAGCTTCCCTGGGCCTCCTCTTGGTAGAGAGCTCTGAGCGAGTGATTTACTACTTTTCTTATCAGCATATTACCAAGGTGGATGGGCTGGTTGCTAACAGCTTGGTCTTTCCAGCTGTCACCATCTGCAACTTTAATGGGTTCCGCTTCTCCCGTCTCACCACCAATGATCTGTACCATGCTGGTGACCTTCTAGCTTTGCTGGATGTGAATTTACAAATCCTTCATCCCCATCTTGCTGACCCAACAGTCCTAGCCATATTGCAAGAGAAAACCAACTTCCAGCACCATCGAGCCAAGGTCTTCAGCATGAGTGAGTTCCTAGGGCGTGTGGGCCATGACATGAAGGAGATGCTGTTGTACTGCAAGTTCCGGGGGCAGGAGTGCAGCCACAAGAATTTTACAACGGTGAGTACAAGGAACAGATTTACTTTCTTATTACCTTAATAATGGTTACGGTTACAATGGGATGTACCTAGAATTGGTAATTATATTTATCCTGGCTTCTCTTGGTGAGATAGCAGTTTTGAACTGAAGTATGCTTGGTATCCTTGTGGCAAATTTTGGAGATTTAAAATGGGAAGTCGATTCAAATTAAGGAATTAAGGACTGTTTCCTGGGAGATTTTAACTAGCTCTAGTTATTGGCCTGTTCAGACCCTTGATGAAAGGAATGACAATACTCAATTACACTTTGATTTCCTCAAGGAAACTAGCTTATTTTGCTGTTGAATGATGACTGGCAGCAAAGCAGTATTCAAATAATACAGTAAATTCTGGATGATATGGTTAATATATACCCCACTGGTTGACAATGACTTACAACTTAGATCCTTTTATTCCTTTCTCTCTTGGTAACAATTATTTCCCATTTCATATGAAGTTTTTTCCTGATCCCTGCACAAGATTCTGTAATTGGATAGCTTGGGACAATGTTTCATGGTAATAATTTAGTGTTGGTGACCTACCTCTGATTTGTGGTTTAGAAGAAGTGTAGAGTTTTATGAGCATTAGGGAGTGAAATATGGAGCCTGTTTCATGCTGAATACACTCACCTGTCCTATTTCATTTCTTCTAAATGTTGAGTAATGGGCAACAAGATGAAGATGTAGATGGTAGGATTTGTATTGTTTCAGTTCTCATTGGCCATATGCATTCATCATTTCATAATTGCAGCATCAATTGTTGACTTTCAAATGTATGAATGAAGTATGAGAATAAATATAAAATATTAATATCTTGATTACTACAACATAGTAAATACAATATTTTTCAGTTGACTTGCTTCATACATCATCCCCAGCAAATCTCCAAGTAATGGTGGAACTAAATAATGCATAAACATAGAAATTAAGTAGATCTAGGCCTGGAACTAAAAAGGAAGTGACTTGTTTCATAGCTATGGCTAGTTGCCATTAAAGATGAGGATCAAGATCAGAAAAACAAGATGACTATTTTTTAGGCGACAAAAAAAAAAAAAGAAAAAAAAGAAGAAAGGTACTCTTTACCCATTTTATATCATCCAAATTTCCAAACTGGTTCTTGAAGTCCCAACACATACAAAGGGCACTAGATTAGAGAAATGTTTTCTATACTAATTATTTTGTCCACTGGCTTTCTTGGAGAAATTAAATGTGAAGGTGACGGGCAGTGAATGTTGGAATAAACTTTAATTTCTTTTTTGCTCAGACTCATGTAAAAGTCACCAAGAGTTGAAAAAAATGTAGTAAATTTCTTTATTCACCAATCCCTTGTTTTCATGGCAGGAGTCAGATTAAGACATTGGACAGAAAGAAAGTGGTTTTTCCCAGAGAAAGCTTTGTCTTAATTACATCATACATTAAGGGGATGTTAATGGTTTGGGCCTTAATTAATAACAGTACAGAATTTAGAATATATATATATATATATAAGGTAAAGGCAATCAACTTGTTATAATTTAACATGCAAAACAAGAGTCCATTATTAGAAGGTTGAGACAGAAAACAGTTTGCTTTGATAGGATAAAGCTAGTAGGACCAACACTTTAAAAAGCTTTACATATATACTTCCTCTATTTATCCACTCTTGCTCTTCTTGGTACAGTATATGAAGCCCATTGCCTCTGTCGGCTGCAAAGCAACCCAACTATGTGTTTAAGCTGCATAGTTCAGCTAGATTCAGATTTAGACTTTTTGATGTAATTTAGACTTTCCACCATAGTACCTGGCTTTGGAATCAATTATGTGATAAAAAAAAACATAAACATAGTCATTAATGACAATGGGTGTTTTGTTATGGAAAGAAGATATTATACTTTTTTGATATTTGGAAATTCACTGTTGTGATCGAGACAGGATTGTGTTAAGAGCAAGCTGTCAGGATGAAAACTTTGGGTCATGGTCATATTAATTGACAAGACAATATTTAATGGACCCTTATTGAAGAATAATATTCCAAACTGATATAAAATAATAAATTCTAAATTGTGATCTAGAAATGAAAAGTTTATTTTCATGTGTATATATTATCAGCAGTAAAATTTTCAATATTCTTAACCATGTCTACCTTAACAAAAATACAAAACAAAAATAATGTGGAGGAATTGGGTGCATTTGCTTGAAAACTGCAGAGTGAGAAAGAGTTGGGGAGAAATGCATGTTTTGATGTTTTCCCACAAAAACATGATAGCAAATATATAGGGCCTAGCTGGATAAAAAGTTTTGGGTTGCTTTCAGTGAGTAAAAGTTGCCACCAGGAAAAGAAACTTTAGGAAAAGATCTGTTATTCAGTAGTTCATTTCCAAGTCTCATCAAATAAATCCTCACATAAGAAGATTGAAAATGTAAGCTTTTAAATAACAAATATCAGCCAAAATAACGGACATTACCAGGTTGGTTAGATAAAATGATAACACAATATAAGCTTTATTAATATTTCTTCTTTTCTACAAATCGCCACTTATTTGGATAAGATGTTTATTTATAGGGTTGTACCAGATAATTTTGTTCTACTTCAAGGCATCACCTGAATCCTGACCATCATAACAATCTCACCATGGTGGGACTGGCATGCTCCACCTATGTAGGCAGAGGAGGCATGCTGTGGATCCCGTCAGTGAAAGCTGGGAGGGTCCAGCTTCTCTGCTGTGACTCCTGTTCTTGGAATATCTTGCCTCTGTCCTGGGATGAAATATGCTCCTGCCCCCCACCTTCCACAAGAGCCTGAAGAGGCTCCAACAGGGGATTATCACACTGGAGGCGGTTAATAAGCTAATAGAAAATCCCACCTCCCTCTCCTATGCATCTTGCTTCCTCCTTCTCCATCTTTAATTATGTTTTGTATTTTTATTGTTATTAGAAATATCTATTTTTCATCATTTTATTTTATTTAATATTGTAAATTGTCTAAAGTCACATATGGCGAGACAGACAGCAAACAAACAAATAAAATCTGATTTCTACATAAAAGATAGAATCACTTTGCTTTGAACTGTTAAAGTGAACCAGTCTGATTTTACCAGTTTTTTTTCAGTCCAGTGGAAAGGAACGACTACTGTAGATTTCAGAATCTCACTTAGCATCTGGACTGAAGCAGAGCAATTGCTCCAGACAGATGCTTCAAAGGGGAATGCCACTTCAGTTTGATGCTCTGCTTTGGAGATATGCTTTAATTGAAACTTTGATTGGGTTGAAGTACTCTTTTGAAGTTTGCACAGCTTTAATGACTACTAAAACATTTGAAAGCTTTTTGTTCCTGATATTTGTAAGGCTGTGTGATATATGTTTTGGAGAAGGAGCAAGTTCGTTCTTACTCTATTGGGCTACAATGATGATAACTGAATAAGAGAAAATGATAGTCCTGCCTCTTGAATAATTTTAGATATTGTTGAAATTAAAAGAGGCAAAATGATAGAGGATAAATATACATTTGTCTTTTTTTTAAAAGTGCTTCATTTGAAGCTTCATTTCAGTTATATATGAATAAGACAAGATATTTTAGAGCAGACATGTCCAAAGTCCGGCCCGCGGGCCATTTGCGGCCCGCGTTCCGGTTTAATCCGGCCCTCAAACAGCCCTCCCTGCTCTATATAAATGCGGCCCTCCCACGGCCCTCCCTATCAGAAAGTTTATTGGCGGGGTCTCCCTCGACCAATAGGCAGCGGCTGATCTCGTTTTGCATCCCTCGCGAGACTCTGCTTGGGCCGCTCCCTGGGCAGCCAAGCCAGCCACATGTCTCCCCGTGCTGGGCGGCAGTCATGGCTGGTGCGGCGGCCAGCGGGAGCATCGCTCCCCGGGAAGCCGAACCGGCCACATGTCTCCCCAGCCCGGGCCGGACGGCAGTCAGGCATGAAGCTCACCTGGCTTCCGCTGGGCTCTCCGCCGCCCGGCCCCACCTCGGCCCCATCGGTGGCACATTCCTCGGGCACTTTCAGGGAGCTGCCGCTGCTGCCCTCGTTGCTTCAGGAGAAGGAGACCTTTGGATGCGAGGGCGGCGGGGCTGGCGGCGATCGGGACCCCCCCCTCGTCGGCACTCCCTGTTGCCGGCGCAGCCGCCCATGGTGCACCCAGCCTTGGCGCCCTCCTCTTAAGACGGCGAAGTGGCTGAGGATGCGGTGGGGGTGGCGGCCGGGCCAGGGGC